TGTGGTAGAGGATGTGGGCGTGGTGGTACTAGCAGTTGTGAGGTTGGTGGTTGGAACTGGGGTAGGGGTAGTTGATGACGTAGTTGTGGTATTTTGGGCGGTCACAGGAGTAGCTGAAAATGCAACAGTTTAAACACAATCAAATGTGAGAACAGAGAAAATTTCAAAGAATTTGAAAGTTTTGGGAAACATCTGCCACGCCATCACACTTTTGTCAAATACATAGTTATCACAGTTGCTGGTTTTGCTGAAGCTGCTGTTGAGTCCGAAAAGCACCATTTGTTTTGAAAGACACTCTAAAAAATAAATTACTGACAGATTTCAAAGTAATTCTAACGACGTTAGAGTTGGTCCATTGATTTAGAAAAAATATTTTCCCCAAATCAGCCACAGTAATAATATATACATAATTTAATTTTAACACAAAACAAAGGGCACTAAATAAAACCCTCCAAGTCAAGATAAAGCACTTAAAAATTCATGTCACCCTTATTCTTACAAAGTTACTGGTGACTGTAGGTGTTGCTTGCACTCACTTGTTACACTTGTTGTTGGGGTTGTAAGAACTGTTGTGTCCATGTTTGGTGTCACAACTGTTGAATCTGAAAAGACAATTTAAGAAATGTACATGTTGAATTGCAACGTTTTCTGACAGCTGGTGAACACAGTTGTGGGGGAAGTTGGAATGTTTTAGAAATGAGAGTTGATTCTACAAACTTTATGATCACGTGACGTTGCTTCAAAAACAAACAACAGCGAATCACCCACAGAAACTAGTTTTAAATATGAATGTACCTCACATACCATTGCTGAAGCAATAACTGCCAATTTATATATATATAAAAAAAGAAGAATATATGTATTTGAAGAATCATTTTGAACTTACTTGTTACAGGCGTTACTGCAGCTGTTGTAGTGTTGAAACCTGTTGTGGCAGCAGGTGTTGAATCTGGAAAACACAACAACAGAACAAAAGAACAAAAGTAAATGCAGGTCAAGATAAATTATTTAAAATTTTAGGCATGTGCCAAGCTGATCTCAAATATCAGGATCGGAGGCCATTGAGGCGTTTTGTAAAGTAAAAACTGACATTTATCCTGTGCTGGTACTGCTGTTTTAGTCAACAGACACATGATGTGGTCACTGAGATGTAGGAATGCTGTCCTAGCCAAGGTGAGCATAAATTGCATTAAACTTTAGGGATGTACAGTAAAAACAGACATGTTGTTGAGATATAGGAATGTTGTCCTAGTTAATCCAGGCTCTTCTAAAACACACAAGCTCTGACCAGGGGTCCTTAAACGTCACAGAAGTCTTGCTCACTAAGCCTTCACAATGATGGCTGCTTGTCAACACAGTTTCAACAAATATTATCTCCCAAAATGTTTCCCATTCCCTTATATATAACACTTACTGGTTGAATCTGTACCCATCATTTTATAAACATGTTAGTGCTGGCAATTGCTGGTTTTACTACATATTTAAAAATGTAACATCCTGAAAAAGCATTGTCAGGACATGAATGACCTTTTGTTTTAACATAACTGTAGGTGTTGCAGTGATAACATGCTGTAACAGTACTGTAGTGTCTGAATGTGCAACTGCCATTGTTTT